CCCCCCAAAAAAAGAAGAAAAGAAACAACAGCCCCCTCCCCCATCCCCCAAAAAAGAACAACCCCAATACAACAACAACAAAACAACGACAGCAACGACAACAACAGCAACAACAAAAAAACCCAAAACAAAACGAAAAAAAAACAACAACTGTTAACCCCACTAGGGACAGATCTTCACACTTGTCCTGAGCTTCGATCGTCTACTAATGGTTAGGCTAGCGGCTTCGTCATCGTGAGATTGCGGGTCCGGGGGTTCGAGCCTCTGCCCAGTCCGATGGTGAGTCCTTGGGAAAGTCACTTTACACGAATTTTCCCATTTTGGCTTGGTACCTTCGGAGATAGGCATTAAACTACTTGGAGATTATGCCTCTAAAATAACTTACAGTGTTGCAAAGGGCCTGAGAATGATACAATTTCGCACATTGTTCGCCCTCTTCTGTCATCTTCCTATGGCCAAGTAATGGGAACGTGGAGCAAAAAAGTGAATGTCCCGCGTTTTGCGAAATTATACTAGATTCTCTAATATGTATCACGACGCTGTGGAATCAGGCGGTCGTCAATTTTTGGGAATGGGGAATTATTGGTATAATCTAAAAGCTTGTTCATTTGTCATTTTTCAATGAAAAATACCCACCTATCTTTCAATGGAACTCGAGACGTTCCATGGAATCGTTTTTTTTTAAATATGGGCATTAAAGGTGTTGAGCCAAAATCCAAAAATTCGAGAAAAGTTGCCAAACTGGCAGAAAAACCCCGGTTTCTTCTATTTCATTATTTGTACAAGGGCCAGATTTCACCACGGTGTCTCAATATATAGATTTAAAGCTTCTTCCAACACTGTAAGAGGCGGGACTTCCAAGTTTAACGTCCATCTCTGACGGGGCCGAGCCAGATATGCTTAGATATTTCGTGTAAAGTGCCTGTACCAAGTTCAAGGATACAACATCGGATCGAGCTGAGCCTCCAACCCCCGAGCCCTCTATCTCACGATTACAAGCCCGGTAGCCTAACTAGTCGCTGCAGTGGAACCCACATGGAGCACAGGGCAGGGGTAGGCCACGGAAAACGTGGAGGAGATAATATGTGGAAGGGGACATGAGAGAGATGAAGCTCACTTGGAACGATCCTGGAAGGATGGTCCTGGACAGATATAAATGGAAGGAGCTTGTATGTGGCCTGTACCCTGTCAGGGGTGAAAGGCATTGATGATGATGATGATGATGATGATGATGATGATGATGATGATGATGATGATGAAGATCCTAACCACAAAACTACCAACACTACGATGCCGCATTGTCTTAAAGAAAGCTGACAACTTCGTGATGAATATCGTATCATTAGTTTGAAAACAAACAACAAACCATTAATGTATACTTCCATTACAAGCTGTAGCAATGTTAAGACATCAGATGTCTAGCAGAAAGGTTGCGGCTTCGATTCCTGGCTTTGCTGACTAGGAAACAATCGGGTAAAAGTCTACATGACCCCCCTCCCCCACAAAAAACCTCTCCAGTTTTAAAATATTATGATTAGAGCGTGTTTCGCACTCAACTACACCCCGACGTGGCCCCACACTGAATGGAGACCCCGGATGTGCGTAGAAGGTAAAGAAAGTTCCGAATGAACGTCTCAAAGTCAAATAAACCTATACCCGCAACATTGTATCCCATGGGATGAAGCTTCACCCTATTTCCCTCTGTTCGACCTCATTTGAAACTATCGATTCTGGGCAAACGGAAAAGAAAAGAGGTCATATAGCAATCCTTGTTGTCTTATGCGCCTAAGAGAATGCTAGACTTTGTGTCCCGGGAGACTGAGACAGTGGTCTGAAGTAGAATAGTCGGTCAATAGAGAGATGGACAAGAAATGAACTGGCCAGTCAAGGGAAGACATCAACTGAGCAGTCTCGTGTAGAAATGAACTGATCGAACAAGGGAATCATAAAACAAGATATATTTGTTTTGCCCGGACACTGGTACGTTGGTTTGGTGTAATAAAAATAATATTTAAAAAAACAACAAAAAAAAACCACTTTCATTTTGCGCTTTATAACTATTAATGCACACCGAAAAATAATCACATCATTTTCTGTTCATGTATTTTCATCAAACGTTTGCATCGCTTTGTATTATATTGACACATAAAATAAACACAGACCGCATATAAGTAGACTCATTCATCCAGTGCCAGATCTGCGACAGACATCGTCGATCATGGTTCTCCATTCAATCCTTTGCTCGGATGCTCTCAAAAAGGCTACGTTTCCCTGACCTTTCCCCGTTACCCATTAGTTTAGGTTCCCCAAGTAGACTGCTCTGGGCCTACCCCTGCCTCGTTTGCCTTTAATTTTGCCAGTGAGAGCTAGATGTTCAAGACCTTTATGTCTTTTCAGGTGTCCCAAAAACTGCATTTGTCGTTTCCTGCTTGTTTTTAACAGTGAGCGTCCCACGTGGGCTTTATCACTCACTGGCTCATTTGATTTCTTTTCCTTCCACGATATTCTCAGCAGTCTCCAAAGAAACCACATTTCTGTTGCTTCTATTTTATTTTCACCGTCTTTTGTGATTGTCCAGCTTTCGTAGCCACCATATCCCTATCTTAAATAGTTTATCAAGCAAACTGAAAGCTAGTTCATGGTTCATGAGAGTAACGTATAGATGCACTGGAGCTACTCGCCGGTCACCCCCCTCCCTCCCCCC